AATATTCAATTATACTTTAAAATATTTTTAACAAATAATTAAGTAAACAAAAAATGTTATTGGTTCGTAATGAAGAATGAGTTTATTTCAATTCGTAGATAAGTCGCGTGGTAACTCAATTATTTATGTATGTATTAAAGTTCAACTTCGAAAAAACGGCTTTTTTTCAACGAATAGTTTTTACTTCATGTGTACTGGAATAGGTATGATAAAATACAAAAAAATAAAATAAAACAAACATCCTGTTGGTTTTTGTAAAATTAAAAAATAAGTTGAAATAGTTGCTTCGAATTTATAGCAAGCATTTTTCGTATCGTTATTTATCTTAAATGAAACATTCAATGGTAGTAATATATAATATATTTACTTTTAACAGCTTGAAACATTTTAATATCTTATCTGTTTACTCTATAGTACATACGCATTCTATAATACAGACACATTCCTATAGGTATTTTAARTACAATTTTTGGCGTTATCGCACCCGTTATTCTCCGCTATAAACAATTTTTATTATAAACACACTATATAATTACATATTTTATGTTCATTGGAATTTTTCGTCTTCGAAACTTGTCGACGGACGACGACTATATTRATCGTTGTCACAGACGTATATCGGAAACGAATCTTATAATGATGTGTTATTGTACATATAATATTATGTCGAAATAAGAAAACASCTAAATATATACRCAACGGACGAGGGTTCTTAACGACAGCCGATGGGTGCAATCATTAGGGGCGCTTAAGATAATGATGATTATACAATGATAATAGATATTATATCAATCGTCCCGAAAATGGGTGCGATGGGTGCGACCTACACGACGAATCCCTCGACGGCGTGTGCGACCCTGTTGTCGGGTGGAGGGTACCGGCAACAGTACGAAGTGCTGATGCCCAGACAGGCGAGCGTGACGGACAGCGCGGATATGCCGCACACGACGCCGGCCCCTATGTCGTTGAGCGCGGGGTCCAGCACGGTGCTCTGGCACATGAGCCACAGCGCGCACGTCTCCAGCCCGCTGAACATGGCCACCAGTATGTAACCGGTCACGTAGTTGCGGTTGGGCAGCCACCGCCACTGCTGCGACCGGAACCCGGGGAACCCGAGCACCAGGCACACGGCGGCCGCCAGCAGCCCGGCGTTCAAATAGTACAGCCGGCCACGGCGGGACATGAGGTAGAAGCACAGCATGCAGCTGGCCGTGCCCGAAACAACCAGCACCATGGCGGCCGACCACAGAGTGCACACGGGCAGTGACTGGACGGGCGTCCGGACCGGCGGAGTCCGCGACCACGATGGTTTGGCGGGTGACTCGGCCTGGTGCGGCGTCGTTTTCTCTTCGACCTGCGAAAACATAAAAATTATAAGCCGCTGACATTGATGGATCGGACTTGGTCCGTTTAACTACTGCTGCTTTATTCGCTACGCACACTCAAATGGGTGTACGGTATATGCAACTATATATACAAAACATGGGTAGAACRCGATTGCGCACGTTTGTCCTTTTTGACAACACGATTGCGTATGTTTGTAGATGGATTAAAAGGACCTTTAAGAAAAAAATAAATAAACACCATTGCATATGACATTTTATGCGATGTTGTCAAATTTACTAATGTCATCGTATACAAAATAAATAATAATGTAATGTAATATATAATTAATAATAAATAAAACGAAGTTAACTAAATAATAAAAAGTAATTAGTAAATAAATTAAATCGTCAATTATTTTTTTAATAAAATTATCGTTAATTTTTAAAATACTTGAATCTTAAGAAACTTCTTGACATCTATAAGCTAATAATTTTAAATATTGAATTACATTTTTATGGATTTTAACTCATCATAATCTTCTATTGTATTTGAAATTCTGTTTAAGTCTTTTTTTGCCATTTTTTTGCCATTTTCTTGACTTTCTTATTATTAACCGATTGTATAATAATTGATCTGGTCTTTCAATATTTGAATAACAACATGTGTTGTAGAATGAGCACTGTGAAATTGTTCATTATAAGTCCTATGAAATCTTTCAGATTCATTTGTGGTGTTAAAAATATTTGAGAATTCGATTGATAAAAATAATATAATTTCATAAAATAAAACCAATTTTGGTTCAAAAACAGGTAAATGCAAAAAAGTCTCAACAAATCCAAAAAATGCAAAATAACATTTTTAATTTGAGTTCTCTGTGTCGTGAAACACATTTTTAGCTCACTCTGCTATTTTTAAGCATCTCATAAGAAATATGTAAATGCTATAAGATCTCAACCCGGGTCATATATGGTATATATATGGTATGAAAATTGGCAACAATGCCTAAAACTTTATACGCAATCGTGTAGTTAAAAATCAGGTAAAATCATACGGCATCGTGTAGCTTAAAAAGGTATATCGCCTCAACATAATCAATATTATTTGACAATAATTATATAGGGGATCAACTTTTTTTTTTTAAAACAAACAAACATTTATCGCAACAGAAGTTAACTGCACATCACAACATATATTGCATATAATTGGACAATTAAATCTAAACAATTTTTTCGGTTACTTCCACAGTTTAATAGTTTGTAAAAATTAGTGTTACAAGTATAATATTTCTATGTGACTTTGACTATACTAGTATTTACTGTGACCTGCAGTTAAACATATTTCACCGTACCGTATAATATTAATCTCTTCCGGAAGATATCAAATTGTTATTATATTATTATCATCATAGTAGAATGTACACCAAATGGTAAGGACTTTTCATTATCACCCGATTTCCCGAGGTATAGATGATGCTGGCTAAGTGTAGGTGCGCAGGAGGAGGCTTAAAAGCACTTTTAAAGATCATCAAACATAATATTTTGCTATTCGCTGATTTCTATAATATATCTATATACATCTACCCCCTGCAAATCCGTTATARAGTCAACCGCACTTTTGATACATTCCACAGCTCAATTTTGGTTCAACCGCCCAACATAAGACATATTCTTAAATCATATATGACCCTATCCAAGTCTTCCAGTTCTCGCTGCGTGTTTGTTATTCATTAACGCGTATTACAGCAATATTATAAAATATGATATGTGGTGCCCTTCAACTGGCGAATGTCTCGTGGCGCGTGGGGAACATGAAACAACGTCTCAAACTTGCCACCGCCGGCTATAACCGCTCCAAAACGAATTTAATAATATAAATTATAATAATATATTATAATGTGTATAATATTTTCCAAGCGATTCTTCGGAAGCGCATTGACTTTTCGGCAGCGCGATGGGAGTTAATTGAAAATCTACTCGATACACCGCCGTACCTATATATACGCACACAACACAGCATGTAAACTATATTATTATTACGCTGAGCAATGTGTGTGCGTGTGCGAGAGACGTTTAGAAATGATTTTATATAAACAACGCTCGCGTTAAAAGCGTATATTATTATGTTTGACGTGTATATTGTTATATCGCCGTCTGCAAATACCAAAAACTTTTGCGAGTTTCAGAAAACTATATATATTATACGCGAGTGTTGTATGCGTATAATGATTGAAGCCAAGYATATACCTGTRTAATATATATATTATATATGTACTATTTCGCACTCGTATATTACACACCTCGCCGTAGATTTGGTAGGTACCTATTACTCGTGTAATATTATTGTTGTTATAACGCGTGTGTGTATGTGTGTAACGTAGTTAATGTGAAACTTTTTAATACAGCCGTATAGGAAACTTGGAACGTCAGAACACGGTGGAAACTGCACCCCGTATGATCGTCGTACACCAATATCATATTATACACAACACCAATAATGGCGTATATATAAGTAGAAATTAATTTCGGGTAGGGGGGGGGGTAAAAAATGTATGTAATCGATATCATAAAATAACTTTATATTTACATCACCTTATACACTGTTGTCAGATAAAATCTGTCCAAAAATAATTTTCAACCTCCCACCACTAAAAGAAAACAAAATTCTAAATATTCTACTGATTATATAGATATATAATTTATATTATATTATCATAATTATTTTAATACGTTAAGATCGAAAATGATTCGTTTACTACACGTAACATATGTACGTATTACCTATAATACGAYAGAAAAAATAGTACAATTATAAATATAGTACAATAGAAAAAATACAATTTATTATTAAGAAGACATTGAAAACTGACATTTTTTATTGTCTCCACCTTAAAAGTGCGTAACACAACAGATTTACGATTRGCAGATCACGTGGATATTAGTTTGTTTAAAAATTAGAGTGAATCGGCCTCTTATTTAACTTGATATTAAAAACATTATCTGCAGCAGTGTTTGAATATGAGGGTTTTCAGTTTTTAAGTGAGTAATGAGCCTTTTTAAAATTTATGCTGTATGATAAACGCAAAACTTACTAGAGTTTACTAAATATTTTGCTTAAAATCTGAAATATGCTTTATTTGGTCAAAAATATTATAATAGTAAACGAAATTGGGGAGCGAATGATTAAAAAATACATTCTACCAAGATCTTATATCATATTGAGATTTTGGATTTCACATCATTCGAATTTGTTGATAAAAAATGAACGTTTCTCGCCTATTTTTATCATTTAAAAGACACTTTGACATTGTAATAAAATTATGAAATCGGGGAAAAGAGATAATGATTTAAGTTTATGACTGCAAGTGCAGTGATGTACTGCTGCACGTAGTAAGCATCACGCATGTTTCGGTGTTTAGGTCGAGTGACATGGTTTAGACAAATTGATTATGTTGGGCTTCTTAAAGAGTTTATAAGCTTTGAGCTATCTCGACCAAGATGTGCCAACTCGCAGCAATAATAACCACCGTCGATTGGCTTAATTTAATATACAATAATAATATATTATCGTACCTGAAACACGGACGGCAGCGGCGCCTTATTGTAGATGGGCTGTATGACGGCCGTGTTCCTCGGTCGATTGTACTGGACGCCGGTGGCCGGCACGCACGTGTCCAGATTGTATTCGGACAGAAACTCGGGCGGCCGCTTGTGTTTGTTGTAGAGCGCGGCCGACGACCGGGCCCGGCGCACGGTGACCGGCCTGACCGCGGCCGCCGTTTGCGCCATCATCGGTGCGAACACGTCGGCGGTCCGGCCGGCACCGGACGGCGTGGACGGAAGGCTGACGGTGCCCGACTCGTCGCCGTACACGTCCAACCGGCGTCTGGCCTTGCACGGCGTCACGGCCGCCACGGACCGGTCGCCGCCGGCCGCAGTTGGCGGAGTGTTACGCCTCACCCGGGCGGCCGGTAACGGAGGCGGACATCCGTTCATCTGCAGTTGCTGTAGCTGTTGGTAGTGGTTGTGCTGTTGGGCGCGCAGGAGCAACGTCCGTTCGGCAGGGTCCGCGGCGTCCGAAGATCTGCGCAACCGTGTCGGTGACTCCATGTAATAGAACGATGTGGACGTGTCGTCGTCGGCCTGTAGAAAGTCCATGGACGGATCGATGTCCGGTATCTCTTCATACCGGTGGTGTTGATCCACTTCGCACGCGTGGTTGTAACCGCCGTTGTAGTAGCCGCGCGACATGGCGCTGCTTCACTATAACAATATATTTAATATTATCATTATTATTATTATTATTATTATTGTTGTTATTAGGTACTATATATTTTATAGTTTTATAGCGCTGCTTCGTTTTTTGACAGACAACAAATAAAACAACAAACGAAAGTTAAACCAGCCTAAAACAATCAGATATAACCCTATACTCGCGCTGTAAAATATTTAATGTAATTATAATATATTTTATATATTATATATTCTGTTCAACGGACAACGACATTAGATATTAACCCTTAAATTACCAATTTCTCGTCGAACGATTAGAATAGCTTTTCGTATACCTACCATTATAAATCATTGAATTAAAACTTAAAACATTTCTTACACTCATGACAGTGACATACATAGTATCTAATAGGCACAGTAATCGAAAATTAATGTTTTTTTTTTGTTATTTTAGCAGTTTTAAAAACCTGACCTGACTATCGATTGTTTTTCGTTGTTGGGGTAATATTATTATGTTTCTAAATACAATACTGACGAGTACCTACAAAATGTAAATGTTTATCATCAGCTTAAAAAAGTACATAACGTATTAAAATTATTATTTTAAATATCTACTTGTTGACATATTGAAATATATTTTTTTAATTTCRATTTAATCATGCATCTTCAAATAATTTCGTTTAACTTTTAATATATTTATATATAATATAAACTATTCTTAAAATGCATTTCTTAAAAATATGATTTTTGTTTAGTCTAATATCATATCAATTATAATATGTTATCAGTTATCATAAATTCATAACATRCCACAGATATATAATTGTCGTCACTGGAGGGTTAAATTTAAGCTCTGTTATAGCTAACTATTCAATATTATATGTAATCACCTGTCMATCATCTGGTAAATATTAGGATAAATTATACATGTCACTATTTTGTGATGTATTGCATAAATACATTTGAAATATAATTTATCATTTTTGGTCAAATATAGAAATGATTACACGGATGTTCTTAATAAAAATACTTGTAGGTAAAATAAAATTATTCACTAAATCTTGTACACAGTATATATATTAGTATTTTGTAATTGAGACTTATTCGTCATTAGTCTTCTTAATAACAGAAATAAAATAATTGTTGTGGATTTTTTTTCAGTGGTAAATATTATACAGTTTAATTTACATGAATTAGGACATTTTTGCAATCTTTAAATAAAATCTCTAGCTTTTAAATTTTCT